AAATAGTAAAAATGGTAACCCCCCCCCCCCCAGGGGGGGGGTTATTTTTCCCCCCCGAAACCCCCCCCCCCCCCAGGGGTGGCTTAATGTCTCCCCCGGAATCCCAACCCTTCCCAGCACTCCCGCCCCACCCCCATTAGTTATCTCTGGCCTGTACCCTAGCAGACTCCCCCCACAAGCCTGTCTGAGCCATCCAAATCAACCCCTCACTCGTCCCCCTTAAAATTTGATTTAAAAAACCCTGTAAGAAACCCTTAAGAAGTCACTTCTTCGCATGCCACCTCTCGGGATCCCAAGATCCGTCTTTAAGGAAGTGTCTTGATAGGCAAGAAGGCCATCCCTGGGAAAGGGGGAGTTCCCGAAAGGAGTAAAGTTCTGTCACAGTATAACAGAGAGGAGAGTGTGGCATCAACCAAACAGGATGACATCAGCGGGAGATGGAGCGAGGAAATGACATGTCCATTGGGGGTGGGGCAGCCAACAATGTTCAAGGGGATAGCGGGAAGCTTATTTCCATCATAGCAATGGTCGATATTAAGGACAATATGTAGGAGTAACGCAGAGGTGGGTTCCTACCAGTTCGCACCTATTCGGTAGAACTGGTTCGTCCGATCTACCGAACCAGTTAGAAGAGTTTCCATCAGTGGACCCAGAAAGCAGGCCACACCTACAGAAGAGGTTCCAAATTTTTTTGAAACTCACCACTGGAGTAACGGCCAGATGCAGCAGATGATGAATTGCGAGGTGGTGAAGTGGCCAGTGATGGCAGTGATGAGGAAAGTGGCGGCAGTGGCGGCTGCTCCAGCAACTTCAACAACTCCAACAGCTAAGCTCCATCCACGCCAGCCACATTGATATCTGTCACCAGGGTTGCATTCCGTTGACCCAATCCATAGTGTAACAAGAGGAGGGGCCAAATGGCCAAATGACACAGTACGGTGGCCCAGGCAGCGGCGGTGATACTGGAGGGGGCCACAACGAAGGACCCCCCCCCACTCCAACCGCGTCCACACCAACTACCGAAGCCATCTTCTGCTGGCGTCAATATCCATGCCAGCTGCCTCAGCCACTCCCCACTGATCCAGTCTATCACGTCCTTAAGTAAGGTGGAGGCGGGGTGGAGAGGGGAGCAACCAGGATAACACCACGGCGTTGGGAGCGGCAACTGCAGAGACCCCAGGCCAGGCGTCCCATCGCTGCCGCCAACTACACCCACGCCGGCAGCCGCCAATGCTCTCCATTCTCCTTTAACCGCCAACTGCCCCATTTCACTCACGACGTTCCGGCTACAAGGCAGGAAATCACAGCTCAAGGGTATCCCCGAGGTCCCAGGAAGTTTTCATAGCTGGACCTGGAACTGATGATGGGATAGGGTACTCCCTGCAAGCCCCGAGAAGAATAATCATCTCCCCGAAGCTCTCCT